GAAAAGTCGGCTAGGAATATACTTAAAAAGGTAACTGCAACTAACTGTCTAGCATAAAATCAGTTATGTGGAAGACAGAATTTAGCTGGTTAATGAAACTCGAATTTTAAATCAATCCCATCCAGTCATACTGTTTTTTTTACCTTTTCAACTCAATGAGTACTCCAAAATGTCTCTCTCTATATGACATAAATCATATGTTTGGTTAATAATGTCAAGACACATAAGTTCAGTCTGTTGGAAATCAGCTACTGAAAGCTTATTGTTTCAAAACCATTTAAACAATGACTGAATCAGTGACGTTGGCTAGTAGTCGACAATTAATTTTAGAAGGCTTGTTTTGTTCTACGATGAAATCTTCAGTTGAATGTACTTATATCAGTGTTTTTGATCACATTGAGATTTGAACTCCGACTATTTAGCTTAACATGTTCAACGAGATACCCACTGTTAAAATGGATCCGAATAGCTACTACCTTATGCAATATATAAAAATTTCACTTGTGAAAGTTCTTATCTTCCAATCACTGATATTAACTTGTTTTAGTCGTAAAACTAAGATGAAACAACCTAATATTTCACTTTTTTATGTTATCCACTCAAATAATCATTATATTCTGCTAAATTCTCGTTTAGTCTAACCTTTAGTGTAAACAAGAATATTGATAATTTACATCACACACACACACACACCACTTATGTCAATTTTATCAGTATTCGGAAATATAAACCTATCAAATAATTTCAGTATCCCATTTTCATTGTATTCAATTTTCAAGAACAAAAAGGAAAAACAAACTGAATATAGCCCTAAAACTCTTAGCCTAAATTGAAGAACTTGAAATTACTCAGAAATATTAGCGGTTAATAATCATAAGGAAAAGTGTATAGTGACTAGCATTGATATCCAGGACATGGGTTTCATTCTATTCGGGACTCGTCAACTGCACGTGCCTGCATCTCATAGTTGATGTTCACTCCAGAACTCTAAGACGTGCGTTTCGTTAGTTATTAATCATGTTTTATAAATGAATTACAGCATAGTGTTTTCTAATCACTATATAGTTACTAACAATTTTTTGATTAGGTTTACTTTTTTATAATTAAAATAGATATTTGAATTAAGTGCACAACAGTTTCATACATACATACCCTTTCACCTATTATTTTGTTTGGTTTTCTATTTAGTAATAACACTGAATTTCGCCTGTGCTTGTGAAAAAACTTTAATTATTATTATGTACAGGTTTAATCTGAATAATAAAATATGATTTCATCATCATATCTATTGGCTATATTAGAATCGTTAGATTCAAGAAAGAAGGAACAAGAAGGCAGAGATCAATACCAGTCGAACAAGAGCAGAAAAAGCCAAGGCACAAGCTGAATACACGGAAATAAACAAACAAGTGAAGAGGAGCATCAGAACCGACAAACGTAAATATGTGGAAGATTTAGCAACGACGGCGGAAAAGGCTGCAAGAGAAGGAAACATGAGAAAACTGTATGACACGACGAAGAAACTCTCTGGAAATCGCCGCGAACCAGAACGACCAGTGAAAAACAAGGAAGGCGAGGTAACCACCAACATTGAAGAGCAACAAAACAGGTGGGTAGAACACTTCAGGGAACTCTTGAATCGACCAGCCCCACTGAACCCATCCAACATCGAAGCAGCACCCACGGACTACAGGGGCATCACTCTTCTCTCAATACCAACAAAAGTCTTCAACAGGGTATTGTTAAACAGAATGAAGGACTCTGTAGACGCCTAACTTCGAGATCAACAGGCAGGATTCCTTAATGATAGATCGTGTACAGACCAAATCGCAACTCTACGGATCATTGTGGAACAATCAATTGAATGGAATTCATCACTCTACGTCAACTTCATTGACTACGAAAAGGCACTTGATAGCGTGGACAGAACAACACTATGGAAACTTCTTCGACACTACGGCGTGCCTCAGAAGATAGTCAATATCATACAGAACTCATATGATGGATTACACTGCAAAATCGTGCATGGAGGACAGTTGACAAAGTCGTTGGAAGGAAAGACCGGTGTCAGGTAAGGTTGCTTACTCTCACCCTTTCTCTTTCTCCTGGTGATCGACTGGATCATGAAGACGTCAACGTCTGAAGGAAAGCGCGGGATACAATGGACATCTAGGATGCAGTTGGATGGTCTAGACTTCGCAGACGATCTGGCCCTTCTATCCCAAACGCAACAACAGATGCAGGAGAAGACAAACAGTGTGGCAGGAGCCTCAGCAGCAATAGGTCTCAATATACACAAAGGGAAAAGCAGGATTCTCCGATACAACACAGAATGCACCAATCCAATCACAATTGACTGAGAAGATTTGGAAGATGTAAACACCTTTACGTATTTGGGCAGCATCATTGATGAACAGGGTGGATCTGATGCAGATGTGAAGGCGCGGATCGGCAAAGCAAGAGCAGCATATTTACAACTGAGGAACATCTGGAACTCAAAGCAACTTTCAACCAACACCAAGGTCAGGATTTTCAATACAAATGTCAAGACAGTTCAACTGTATGGGGCAGAAACCTGGAGAACTACGAAAGCCATCATCCAGAAAATACAGGTGTTTATTAACAATTGTCTACGCAAAATACTTCAGATTCGTTGGCCGGACACTATTAGCAACAACGTACTGTGAGAGAGAACAAACCAGATCCCAGCGGAGGAAGAAATCAGGAAGAATTGCTGGAAGTGGATAGGACACACATTGAGGAAAGTATCCAACTGCGTCACAAGGCAAACCCACACATGGAATCCTGAAGGTCAAAGGAAAAGAGGAAGACCAAAGAACACATTGTACCGAGAAATGGAGATAGACATGAGAAAAATGAACAAGAATTGTATGGAACTAGAAGGCCCAGGACAGAGTGGGTTGGAGAATGCTGGTCAGCGGCCTATGCTCCATTGGGAGTAACAGGCGTAAGTAAGTAAGTAAGTAATATTAGAATCGTTCGTATTTGTTGATAAACTGAACTTACTTCTTACTTACGCCTGTTACTCCTCGTGAAGGAGAATAAGCCGTTCACCAGCATTCTCCATCCAACCCTGTCCTGGACAATCCTTTCTAGCTCCTTCCAGTTGTTGTTCATCCTTTTCATATCTGCTTCCGATTACCGACGTAATGTGTTTTTTGGCCTTCCTCTTTTCCACTTTCCTTCAGGAGAGGTCGTAACGGATTCATCTGAAATCAGCTTTTCATGCCAACTGAAGTGTTTAATCCTTTAAATTGATTTCAAGCAAAGTGTTGTATTGGCGTTTAGCATTTTAAATTGAATACTGTAATTGTTTCTTTTCTTTAAACTTATTTTTACATATCGCATAATAAACGAAATTCCATGCTTCTTTCTGATAAAAAACTCCAGAAATAACATTAAATTTGCTAGATGTTGTTTGCTTGTATTTTCCTATTGGTGTTTAGGATTGCAACTGATCAGCCTCATGTTGGCATATGTGTATCCCGTGCAGATTGCCTCGATATTGCCTTAAGTCAAAAGCTTTGTAAACAATGATGGGTAATGGCTAGCATTTGAATCCAGGACGCTTATAATGCTTGTGAATTAAAGTACTATCGATGTAATATGCACAATATGAACATATGTGAATAACAGACTGATCGATTGCGGTCCTAAACATCAATGTGAAAATGTAGGTAAACAATATCAAGTGAATTTAAACTTCACCCTATCGCACAAACAAGTAGTTATCACGATTCGGTAGCTAAGTGAATAAAGCGACGGCGTTTATAACAGAGAGTACAGCCTTCGATCCCCAGAGTGAACATTAACTCTGAAATGTAGGTACATTCAATTGACGAGTACGAAATTGAACGAAACGCATGCCCTAGATTTCAATGCTAGTCGTTATCCATCTTTGTCGGTTTAATTGTTTAACAATCATTATATTAGTGTCATATTTGTTAACCTTATTTTAAAAATGACTTCACGACAATGACTTATTGAATAACATCTGTAGTTAAACTCTTGCTGAACAATCATTTAACTTGTTACTAGAATAATATCCTTTTATACTTGACATTAAACTATATTGCATTATCATAAACTATTTTTTTATTGACGGTCGAAACTATACATCCTTGGAAACATATTGAAATGTAGTAACAAGTTTGGAAATACTGTGGTGCGTGCTACTTATATTGATATAAGTGTAGTATATGACGCGAGCCAGGAATGTAATGTCTGGCAGCAGAAGATGGAGAAGATCAAGAAAAGAAGAGTGGGAATAGAAAGCAATTAGTATAGAAATGCAAGAACGACGAAGTTCGAGACAATTATTGAACATTTTGCAAATTAGGTATTATAGTAAGGTTTTTCTATTTTACCAAGTAACTGTGCTAAATATAATTCGATTGTTGGATGGTGGTTGGAGGTAGTCGACAGGAGACCCTGGACCCGGGTTCGTGCTTTTTGGCACTTGTCAGCAAGGTTTACCTGTAATCTTGAGGGAACTGGTGCTCCCTGGTGGACTCGATCCCGTGTCACCCAGCTTGGCAGTCAGAGACGGTACCACTGAGCAAGCCGGGCCGCGACCGACCTCCTGTAGGACTGAGATATAATCACAACTGTTTAATCACTGGGTGCCAAGTAGCACGAAACCCGGGTCCTGGGTTTCCAGTCGACTACCTCCAATCACCACCTAATCTCAGTATATAGTGCCCGCAGCGGCCACATTGCAACATGATCGATAGCATTCGACCTGCACTATTAAGGACTAGATACGCATGACATTGATCGCCACCCAGTGATCAATCAATTGTGGTAATTCGATTGTCCCCACCCATGTTCTGTTTCACTACAATACTATCAAATACCATAGAGAATACATTTTTTTTCTTTAAAATTTATTTAAAGGTTACAAATTTTCTTTTCTTTATTTGAAATGATGAAATAGATAAATATAATTAGTTAATGATAAATGATGAATTATTGATTGATTATTTCCCTAATAATCCACCATACATTCCACCTCGTTTATAATGTTGTGATCTATGACGTTGAATATATCTTGGATACATATTTTCATATGTATTCACTTGTGGTATTTCATCATTCATATAATATTCAGCCATTTGTCCATTTACCAATAGACTATTTGTGATGAATACACAAATGATAATCAATGCAAATGTTGATATTGAATGTATCCGCATCTTGACAGTTATATATATATACTTTTTCCTTCTGTAAAATAAATCAAGGATTAGAGTTATGGAAAAAAAGTAATAAACAGATACATGTTTTAATGTAAACTTGTCTAATTTGTGAGATTCACATATCGGTGAGACCATAATGTATGGACGATCTTTGAGTGACTCTTGGACTGACCTTGAAAGTACCCACCTAATAATTAGGATTAAATGTGGGTTATCAACATGTGTGTGTGAAATTAGAATTATAATTTACAATTGATGATTGAGGTTAAGAATTAAATTTAAGGTTTTCATCACGAATTGACATCAGCTATAATGTTAAAACTCTGTTTATCTAAATAGATAATTGAATTTCGCGCTCAAATCCGACATCTGTTATATTATACGTCTATATATTGTCATGAGAAGGTTGACCATAGAGATATATGTTATTTCTTATCAGCTATTTCAATTTCATATCAATAATAGTTGAATAAGATTTTTCTTTTCATCTTGTTTTGCTTTTTAAATTCTGACCAATGATAAATAAACATCACATGTTCTGTAGTTAAATATTATGTAATCGTATATTGAAAAGATAACTCCGCCTGGAGACCCTCCAAGGGCTACTGACGGTCCCAAGCTCAGATAAAGAGGGAGGGTTAGGCATGGGTTTAGCGAACCCATCCCGTAGAAAATTAACTCGCCTAAAAATCGCTAGCCAGTAATATGGAAATGATCATTAGTCAAATAATTGAAACTAATCATTTGTAACTCTGATTATCAAAAAGGACATAAAATCTTTTGTAATTAATAATCTGAACTATTATTAAAGTGAATTATGAATTTCGGTCCATTTAGTTATGATGTAACCATGGAGATTAAGAAGTAAATTAATAATGAAGAAAAATTAATAGACAAATATGTTAATTGAAAATGTTAGTAAAATATTTATACAGTGAATAAATTACGTAACTTCAAAGAAGCAGACACATATTTTGAACCTATCTCACAACTCTTAATCAATATAGTTAATATTCTATAAGGAAAATGATCTCTGTATAAGTTTTACATTTGCCTTATGTTACATAATAAAATGAGAATAATATATTTTAATGGTCAAGATAAAAACATAGTTGTAATTAAAACTTTAGCCTTATGTTAAGTTCGCTACTTGATTAAGGCAGAACACAGTTTACGACTACAACACCTGAACGTTGAACCGTCACAAATCAGAAGAAAAGCTGGGGACGTGTTTATTTGGTAAGAATCAAAATGAACAGAATATCATGGGTTGTAGTTCTCGACCCAACACCTTATAATAATCATCTTAATCAAATTCATAACACACATACACAAATTCACTAGGTGATTAGCCAACAGTTGTTTGATCACAACTTGTAATATCAATGACGACCTGCTTGAAAATCTGGGCTACCTATTCCTGTACTCTAGACATTTCAACACGTACTCTGTTTCCCTGTTTGTTTTAACAAATAATTACGTCAATTATTTGTATAACTTATTCAGGTGAGTTTGTGAAAAGTATACGACTATTCGTTGTACAAATAATTAAAAAAATGTACAATCGGAGACATCATGATGGCTGGCAATATGCATTGAAAAGAATGGAGATTATTCAGATGTCGATGCCTGAACTGTTAACATCTAACTGACGATCACTCAGTGTTTATCGTCAGGGTCGATCAAGAAATAAGAAAAAGAAAACTTATTGAAATACTTTGTGCTAAGAATTCTGTATTGTACTAAAAATTGAATATTGAATAAAGCTAATAATAATAATATAATACTAATATGAAGCCATATTGGTTATGTATAAACCTTATAGGATGTACGAAATAAACGATTTTCCTTATTCCATAGGCGGTAAACGTTATTGAAATATGTTTAGATTGATTTTTATCGATTCACTGAGTAGATATTTTCATATATCAAATAAACAAACTATGCTACTAGTTAACAGTGTTGAACAGTCAATTGAATTATAACTAGATAATATATTGAAAACTTCACAGTTAAATGTTTTAAAACACACAGTAATAGCATAATTTCATCAACTATCAATCAGCTATCTAAACTCTTCTAAGTAAAAAAAATTTTTCCATCAATGTTCAAAACAACAGATCATGAATATTTTACAAGTATGATCATAAATTACCTTGGTTGGTTTAATAATTTCATATATGCATATAAATATTACTGTATATTAAAGCCTGATGAGGATCTAATCGAAAATAATATTGTTCGCTTATATATGTTATTCTAGAGTAAGCATTTATCAAAACTTCTCTTCATAGTTACAAATTTACCTCAGTAAATTAATTAACCTACTCTTCTAAATTATAATCACACATTTTTGGCAAAGCAACGGCCGCATTCCTACAATTGAAGAACATATGGAACTCAAAACAACTTTTAACCAATATCAAAGTCAAAATCCTCAATACGAACGTCAATGCAGTTCTACTGTATGGAGCTGAAACTTGGAGAACTACTACAAATATCATCAAACATGTACAAGTATTTATAGATAGTTGTCTACGCAAGATATTCAACATTCATTGGACGGATGCCATCAGCAACAGCGTTTTGTGGGAGAGAACAAATCAGCTTCTGATTGAAGAAGAAATTAGAAAAAGACGATGGAAATGGATAGGACATACATTGCGCAAGTCATCAAACTGCATCACGGGGCAAGCCCTAACTTGGAATCCTGAAGGGAAGCGGAAAAGAGGAAGGCCAAAGAACACATTACGTTGGGAAATAGAAGCAGATATGAAAAGAATGAATAACAATTGGAAGGAGCTAGAAAGATTTGCCCAGGACAGCGTTGTATGGCGAATGCTGACGAGCGGCCTATACTCCTACACAAGGAGTAACAGGTGTAAGTAAGTGATTAAGTAAATATTTTGTACACTTGATTACATGGATCATTTAAAAAAATTGATTTACAATAGAACAACCGGTTACATTTTGATATCAACGATATACATTAATTGAGTAATTTGAACAGTTACTTAAATTTTTAATAAAAAAAAGTAAAAACAGTTTATTAATGAATACTGAAATATGAATTTCACAAGAAGTTCTGATACGTGATATCGAAAGTCCTGGGTTCGAATCCGTCGAGGCGAGGTCGTAGATATGCACTGTTGAAGAGTACCATACTGAGACACAACAAGCGTTCAATGCTTCCAGATTTTTCATGATGAATCTATCTTTACTCAACTACTAAAATTACTATAATCTCCATGAAAATCCTCCTCTTCTGAGAATACAAATCTTCATAAGTTTTTGATTGAGAGCATGAACTAATTAATGTTTGATCAACATTAAAAACCTGAAAGCACTGGACGGTTGTTTTCAATGGTGATCTAACAGCAATCAATTCATGATTTCAATCAAAAATTTAATAAACTCCACAACCGCTATTCATAAGTTATTAATGCAACTAACTATTTCCAATTATCAAAATAAGTAATAAGTCAATGAAAATAAATCGATATCCTATCAATATTTAATCAATCAAATAACACAAATAAAAGAATTTGTTTTGAAAAATAAACAATAATTTCTTCATTCATAGAATGAAATGTCCATGGATACAAACGAATAAAATAAAAATGGTAAGTAATATACTGAGATTATTGTTATTTTGTTGAAAAGGTTAACATTATGAAACACTATTGAAATATTTTTATATTAACCTAAACTATTTCAGATTATTTATGGTTATGATTATCATTAATCATTCTTCTTCTTCTTCATTTTTCTCCCTTTTTAATCCATTATACCAAGTTTTGTATTTGACCTATTTATGAATTATACGACTAGTGAAATTATTAAATGTTCAAAGGTTGACCTTCCTATCGTTCTACATTTACATGCATATTTGAAGGTGTAAATTAATAAAGATTTGAATGTAGTAGTAAACAAATTTTAACATCAACAACTTCCGGTTATTTATTTACATACGTACTTACTTACACATATTTCCCCTAATGGAGGGCCATGGGCCGGTCACCATCACTCTCAATCCAACACTGTACTGAGCAATCCTTTTCAGTTCTTTTTAGTTGCTATTCATCCTTTTCATGTCTACTTCCGATTCCCGACGTAATGTGTTATTCAGCCTTCCTCTTTCCCGTTTCCCTTGAGGATAACAAGTTAGCGCTTGCCTTGTGATGCAGTTTGACGATTGTCGTAATTTATGTCTTATGCACTTCCAAGGTATTTTCCTAATTTCCTCTTCAACTGGGAGCTGGTTTGTTCTCTTCCACAGTAGGCTATTGCTGATGGTATCCGGTCAATGAATGTTGAGTATCTTGCGTAGACAACTGTTTATAAATACTTGTATACTTTTGATGATGGTTGTGGTGGTTTCCCAACTTTCAAGTTCGTAAAGTGAAACTGTTTTGACGTTTGTATTGAAGATCATGACTTTGATGTTCGCTGACAGTTGTTTTGAATTACATATATATTCTACAACTATAGGAATGTGTCCATTGCTTTGCCAATCTATGCATTCCTTCACATTTGATCAGAACCTCCTTGTTTATGGATGATGCTGTACAGGTGCAAGAAAGATTCCACATCATCCAGAGCTTCTCCATTAAGTGTGATTGTGTTGGTGATCACCATGTTGTATTTGAAGATCTTGCTTTTACCTTTGTGTATGTTGATACCTACTGATGCAGAGGCTGGTGCTACATCAGTTGTCTCCATCTGCATATATTCGTATGTATGGAATAGAAGAGCCAGGTCATCTGAGAAGTCCAACTTCCGGTTACTTACTTATAATTGAAAGAATATTTTACTCACTGAAAGAAATTCACTAAAGATGGCCTAAAGTTCAAACACTGTTTTCCCGGTCGACTACCTATCGATAGAATATTGTCAACAGTCATTCCAAAATATGTAAGTACCATTAAATCTTAGTAAGAGAATTAATGTTAGTTAAAAAAATATAACTTAAACTTAAAAAGGCTGTGGTCATCAAG